GTGACAGCTGTGCCCTCGAGCATGGACAGCCGCGAGCCCTCCAGCCCCTCCCAGACCACCTTAACGAGCCTTTTCTAACAGTGGTTTCCTTTTTTTTTTCTTTTTTAAATGCTCCCTCTTCTTTCCATGCTGATCCTAATTATTATTATTTTATTATTGACGAGACCTCCCTCCCCCGCCTCCTAACCCGCAAGGTGTTTGGGAAATTAGAACAGCTTGGTGTGTAGCATCGGCAGCCACGTGACGAATGAGTTTACAGCCCCGTCTCCTTGACAAAGTGTATTTTTTATTATTATTATTATTATTTTTTGTCCACAAAGTGTAGTTGGATTTTTGGTGGGGTTTTTTTTTTTTGGTGTTTTTTTAAAAAATTAATCAGATCATTCAGTCGGCAAGGGGAGTTTTTGAATCCTCCAAGTGCCTCTTAAAATTGTATGTTACTTATTTCCAGAAATCTCGGAGGGGAAAAAAAAAAGAGAGTGGTCTTTTGATGGGCAAATATTCCCGATTAAGTGATTGGGTTAAGAAAGTATCAGTCGATGAAAACGCTTTAGGACATTGTATGTGTATTTAGGGAATTTTGAAAACGTCCCATTTAAAAAAAATTTTTTTAAACTGAAAAAAGAAAAATGTTTCGGCCACTCCTTTTTCTTACGAATGAGGAATATGATTACACAAAAGCACTAACTGTAGCAGCTCGAATAGGAGCGATGCATTAGATTTATGAGGCTGAACAGCTCCTCGGAAATGGGACTCTTAGGGTTGCACAGCTTCACCAAACTCCCACTAGCTCCTTGCTTTTCAACATTTGGACAATACTTAAACTCCCTACGTACCCACAAAACTCCAAATAGGACTTGAAATCCTACATTTCTTAACCTTCCAAAGCTGCAAATGGTAGTTGTAAAAGCATTCCGTCCAAATTAATCCCCCCCACCCCTTCCAGGGAACGTGAAAATAAGCAAAATACAATTTTTTAAGGAGTCGGAAAAAAATCAGCGTAAACTTAATTCATAGCTTTATGGATTGGCTTGAGCTGTACCATGATATTGTGTCTGGCATTCTACGTGAATAATGTTTAAAAAAAAAACACACCCAACCAACTTAATAGACGAATACCAACAATGAGAATTCTTTGATGTTCTGTTTTGTTTTACTTTGGCCCAGCTCGATATATTTGTCAGAAGCAAACTTTTCTGACATTGGAGATTCAAAGTCATTAGCGTAGATCAACTCAGAGGCCTCGTGGGTGCTGATCTGAATATATTTCCTAGTTTACAGTAGCATTTTCTTTTTGTTCTCCTTTTAATTTAAGCTAAAATCGTAATGGTCTGGGCAGTGGTGAATGTCCATGTGTAGGCTTCCGTTGTAGTTAAATACCAATTAGAATGTGGATTTCCTAAAAAAAAAGAAATAAAAATAAAATAAAATAAGGAGTCAGGATATATGTCTTGCTTTAGTGGATTGGTAAGAATAACTTTGCACATGTTCCCCACTTCTTGGACCCCTCAAATCTCCTCTGGTGGTCGAAGTGGCAATTTCATAGATTTTTTTTCCCCCCCAAGGTGTCCTGGCTGTTGTATAGACGTGTGGTTCCCTATTGACAGTTCACTGCCCACATTAAAGTGCATTATCGTAACTCTTGCTCAGGGTCTTTAGAAAATTAGCACAGAAAGTAGCTTATTTTTTAAGAAAAAATAAAAATAAAGATGAGGGGAGATAAGTTAACACTGTAACAGAAGGAAGGCGCGTGATCGCCGTTGTATACCTAGCGGTGTCATCTTCGAAGGGGCGGAAATCTCGACTTTCCCTAGTTCTATTCGATTTGGGGGCATTTACCACTGACCAGACCAAACAACCTTGATAAAGGCTGAGACGTTCTTCATACACTTTTACAGGTAAACTAGCGATACTTACACACGCTGTTCTTGGACAGAACAGTCTATGGTACTATATCGGTCTACTTTATGAAGTAGACGGATTTATAACTCAGTTTTCCTATGTGCCTTAAGGATCTCACTTAGAAGTAAGTTTGTGAAGAAGAAAAAAAAAATCAGGATTATGTGTTGTTCGTTAACTTGTTGGAAGCCCTATGACGCCTCACTAGTTTTGTACTGTTTTACCTCTCATTTCTGAAACTCTTTTTATGGTGTAATCCGGTTAGAGGGACGAACGTGTCATAGAAAGCGGTGTGCACTCTTTCAAAATATAGTTGATAAATTCAATAACCTTCTATATTGAGCTTCGTGTTTATAGTACAGTTAAGTGGTCTAGCAGAACTGTCCGTTTTCTTTGTTTATTGATAAATGCATTGTATAGAAACTATTTCCCCTAAATATTTATTGGACCAAACAATTGTGATTTATCCTATTAAATTTGTGTGAATAAACCATTTTGAATCTAAGGAGTTTTATTTCCCACAAGTTTTATTTAAAGCTTAACCGGACCAATGTGTTTCCAATACTAGACAGTATGTAAAAGCTACTAAAAGAGCAATACAAATGCTTTCTTAAAAAAAAAAAATAGTCAAACATACAAAGAGTTTTAAGATCTCCAAACTTCTGATGCGCTTGAAATGTACACCCCATTGCAATGTCATTCTACGTGGAGTTGCCTTTGAGTCTATTTTCTTAGGATACAAGTAATGCCCCATAGATTTGAGTCAGCCCAAGTTTTGGAATTTAAAAAAAAAAAAAAAGAGAGAGAGATAAACTAACAGATAAAGTGATTGCATGAAAAAGAAACCTTAAATATGATTAAGATTTCATAGTAGGTCTATTGAGCACCAATGGATGTTTGTAAATCTAAATAGAAATTGACCCCGAAAAGCCGAGTTGCTCTGTAGTTAATAAATTGTCACTATGATTTTTTTCAGGGAGAACAAATCTTGGGGTATTACAGCCAAACATCCCGACGATTGAAAATTCCCTAAAGTATTAAAAGAAGGGGAAAGTTTGATCGGAATTCCACAGCAGTGAAGACAAAGACAAACAAACATTAGGTTATGCTAATCACACACTCTAAAAACCGATTGAGCCAAAAAAAAAAAAAAAGAGAGAGAGAGAGAGAGGCTTAAATGTCATTTCCTGATGGTGAACAATAAATAATTCTGTTCTTTATGATGCCGAACACACACACACACACACACACACACACACACACATGCGGGGCTTCACGGGATGTGGTGGCTTAAAACGAAACGAGATAGACCGTGTGTATAAACAGAGCCACCCGGCAGCCGTATGCCCGCCTCACCTCTGAAGCCAGTTATTCTCGGAAAAGCCAACCCCGCACATTTGTCAAGCTCAGTGCAGCCCCCCACCTTCCTCTCACCTGCTTGCTCACGTGTCCTGGTCCTACCTGTGAAGGCATCTTGCAATTGTAAAGTCAGAGCCACCCCAGGCCTCACTGGAGAGAGAGTAGGGAACCCCCCCCCACCTCCCCCCTCCCCCCATA